GAACCCTTTTTTGAAACTTGTCTTCTATTATCAATGCTAGATAGTTTACGCTGTGTAAATCCGACAGAAATATAACTGCAATAATGTGATCTTAAAACTCATTTAACAGAATTAAATTTTTCACGCGTAACAACACGTTAAAGTTGGAGGGAGTGGACAGTGTTGACTCACAACAGCTGATTCTTGATCGGCGACATGTTTTTTACCTTAAATGTGATTATGGGTAAAAAATAGAATAACCCACAAGGTACGAGTGATTACAAAAAATATGTCACTCCTGAAACTAATCAAGATCCTGTGGTTCGTGGCGGGAAATTCACAAACAATCAGATATTGTTCAGGAAGCGTCCCGATTCAGCCGTTTCCAGCCGAATTTGTCCCGATTCTCCCGTTCTCAATCCGAATCTGATCCGATTAGTATCTTCCGCATGGTAAAAAAACGACCGAATCTGTCCCGACAGCGTCCCGATTCTCCCGAATGCGATCTTACAGAGATCAGACAATGACCGGACAGTGAACCGACAAAGACGGTTCGCATTCGGCAAGATCTCAGACGCAATCTGGACTCAATGGACAAGAAACGGCAATGAACTATTCTTGCCCGTTCATCACGACAGTGTCCCGAACCATACTCACTCCTCGATAAACGTTAAATATGATCATGTCACAGAATGTCATCTATAAGTTCTTACCTGAAGAGTGCAGGCGGCCAAACCTGTCATGGCGTATTTCACCATACGAAATGTTTGTGTTCAGTTTTCCCTTAATTGCGTCTGTCATTTTCTTGTTGTTTCTTGATTGTGCAAACGTAGTAGCAATTGCAGGACGAACATGTAGTTTCCGGGCGACATCGCATCCAGGAAGTGGCTGTTGCGGTTCATCTCCCTGTGTAATTGTTCTTCTACTTGCGATTGTATCATTTAATTTCGGGAGTGAGTGAGTGAGTGAGTGAGTGAGTGAGTGAGTTGGGTTTAGCGCCGCTTTTAACAGTATTCCAGTTATATCGCGGCGTGTCAGCTTAATCTGGGAGGAAAGCCCGAAGTGATGCAGGTCTCAGACGTTTACCACTTCGGTGAAGCCCACGAGCACGGGTATGGTGCTGACAAACCTAGAAACAAAATCGGGGCGAACCCACAATCATAGGTTTCTGGCGTGCCCAAGGGACGCAACTCTGCACAGCGAATCGCGGCGCCTTAGACGACTAGGCCACCCGTGCCCCCCTTCATTTCGGGAACAAACGTTATGCACTTCCTCTTCCGATTTTGTATTTCCTTCATGAAATCTATCAAACAAACAGAACGTTTCCTTTGAGGGTGGCAAGTCAGTGTCGGAGTCCAGAGCATTGACTGGAGGTACTGTCAGCCATTCTTTCATTTCGAGAATACTCTTAGAATATATCCCTTCATTAGCTTTCTGTATGTTCTCAGCAGTAGCTTCGGCCAAGCGTCCCTCGTTGGGAGAGAACATGTTCTTCCGCCGCTTGTTTCCATGGCATGACACCATAGGGGTTGTCTTGACATAGATCGATGTGGTCCCTCACGCTTTCGGGCCTTGTTTGTTTGTTTGCTTGTTTGTTGTTTAACGCCGCACTCAGCAATATTCCAGCTATATGACGGCGGTCTGTAAATAATCGAGTCTGGACCCGACAATCCAGTGATTGACAACATGAGCATCGATCCACGCAATTGGGATCGATGACATGCATCCTTACTCAAATCATTAGAGACCAACTCATTATATGAAGTGGCTTTTTACAATCGGAGCTGTAACATTTGAGACAAACACATTATATGAAGTGTTTGTTTGTTTGTTTGTTGTGTAACGCCACACTCAGCAATATTCCAGCTATATGACGGCGGTCTGTAAATAATCGAGTCTGGACCCGACAATCCAGTGATTGACATCATGAGCATCGATCCACGCAATTGGAATCGATGACATGCATCAACCAAGTCAGCGATCCCGTTTTTCGTCTCTTACGACAAGCATAGTCGCCTTTTATGGCAAGCAAGGGTTGCTGAAGACCTATCCTACTCCGGATCTTCACGGATCCTCAGAATACTTTTGAATGTACACGCTACTCTATGAGGGAAGGACGCTGATACCCATACACCTGAACCAACATTAACAAAGTAAAGAAAAATGGAGTGATGGAACACTTTTGGTTTAACCTTGCTTTTAACAGTTGTTATTTTGCATCACTTGGCGTGGCGCCTGAATGTGGGAACACACACACAGAGCGCATACTTACATGCAACAATACTCTAAATTGCATGTTTCTATTGATAGAAAGTCAAATTCATCATTTTAAATGCCATTTTATGGCGTAATTACCAGAATGGCCCCATATGCTTGAAAATGACTTGTTCAAGGTTGATTTGCTTTTCATCTTTTCCTTCAAGCTGTTGACCATCTCCAATTTGGTCCCTTTGGCGTCTACTTCCATCTTTGGTAACCAGTACCGTACACCCAGAACCGGAGCGTCGGGTAGCCTAGTGGTAAAAGCGTTCGCTCGTCACGATGAAGGCCCGGGTTCGATTCCCGACATGGGTACAATGTGTGAAGCCTATTTCTGGTGTCCCCCGCCAAAATTTGCTGAAATATTGCTAAAAGCGGCGTGAGTGCATGAGTGAGTATGCTTTTCACTTCTATCGTGCAGTGTCACCTCAATATGTGACATGTCAAAGAGACACCAATCCATATTTAACATTTTGCTTTTGTGTATCGAGTTTCGTTTGTTATCTGCTTCGTGAACATAAGGTGAACTAAACTTATCTCATTTACATCATTAAGACAGCTTTGAGGAGATTCAAATAACTGTCAGGCCTCGATATGGGGAATTACCTATTGGGAGCTAGCCTTGAAACAAGAGAGAAGAGAGCTGTGAGGTCCTTAGGGTTTATTCAAGCAAGTATCTTACATATCATTCAAGTTACATTAATTAAAATATAACAGTGACGTACAATGATAATAATGATAATTATATCCTAACACAGTTTCAATCTAAATCTGGGAATAAAAGCAATGTATGTTATATTGGAGTATTTCATTATACAACGGATGCAATATTTACTAGAGTAATAACGGTTATGCCAAATAACATTTCTTAACAGCTAAACTGAGTAGTCGTAACATTTTAATAGAGCATGTACGGTAAAACCTGCATGACAATTCTATGTGTGGTATGGGCAGCTTCGGTAAACCATTTATAGCTGTTAACATTAATGAAAATTAATGGGCATATACGGTAGACGGCGCAAACTGTTTAGATGAGGAACGTGACATTTACTTATGAAAAGACGGTAAAAATTAATAAGTATCACAAAATAATGATTTCGGCATTTATGGAAAGTAAATACGAATACGATTGTACGCGGTAGAAGATATAGCTCGGTTTTAGTTAGTGTAATGATTAGTTTTAGTAGTGATTATTTTGGTGAGTGCGGTATTGAATCACGGCGGATATGTTGCTGCAGACTTCGTGCATTTCCTTTGCAAGACAACAGCTAATAGAGTAAATACGGTAATTGTATACTTAAACGGTGCGCGTTTGAATGTACGTTGTTATGAAGTACAAAGGATGACTATAGCTGTATTTAAATGACTACGGTAATGAAATTGTCGTATAGGCAGTGTTGAACCGTATGCAACTTTACGAGGGACGGGACTCTTTACAATATATTCAAATACTTACTTCATGAGGATAAAACCTAAGAAATATGGAATGCGTTGTTATAGCCTATTTTGTAAGCGCACACGGAAGGTAAAGCTGTTCATAAAACCTTTGATCGGTGGACTGTCGGAAAGTATGGAATAACCGACCTTCGTACAAAATAAATCTTGTTTGAAACAGTTGCGTTAACTCCAGGAACCGTTTTGTGACTAAGCTACATGTACGCTACGCTACTGCACGGAAATACAAACTGTTTATATGCATCTGGCATTTTGAACAGATAATGATAGAAGTAGAACAATAATCACGGAAGTCGAAATTTAGGAGAGAAATATTGGTTTCGCATATTAATGACAAATAAACTGGATGAGCCCACGTTGCATTACACTTAAAACTTCACTGATGTTGGTTGGTTGGTTGTTTTACGCCGCTCTCAGCAATATTGCAGCTATATGACGGCGGTGTGTAAATAATCGAGTCTGGACCAGACAATCCAGTGCTTGACATCATGAGCATCGATCCACGCAATTGGGACCAATGACATACATCAACCAAGTCAGCGAGCCTGACAACCAGATCCCGTTAGTCGCCACTTACGACAAGCATAGTCGCCTTTTACGGCAAGCATGGGTTGCTGAAGACCTACTCTACCCCGGATCTTTGCGACCCGTGAAGATTCCGGGGTAGATTCCGGGCAACCCATGCTTGCCGTAAAAGGTGACTATGCTTGTCGTTAAAGGCGACTAACGGGATCGAGTGGTCAGGCTCGCTGGCTTGGTTGATGCATGTCATCTTATCCCAATTGTGCGGATCGATGCTCATGATATTAATCACTGGATTGTCTGGTCCAGACTCGATTATTTACAGACCGCCGTCATATTGCTGGAATATTGCTGACTGCGGCGTTAAACAACAAACAAACAAACCAACCAACCAACCGGATCTTTGCGGGTCTATATAGATACTAACGTCAGTAATTTTTAACGTGACGTTAAACCATATTTCACTTAACCATAGGTGTCAAGATTATAGGATTGTTAAAAACATCAGTCAGCAAACTTAAAAAGCTACTAGAACCATCCCGTTTTATTCTCCGTTTTAATTTGAGAATTGGGGCGTTTTAACCTAAATGCGACTTACCCCTTTTTGATTGGTATCGAGTTCAGAGTAGATATATAATAAGTCATGCATTCCCCGCGATAATCCAGTCTATAAAATCATCTTTCTACTAAGATATTTATCCACGATTGATATCATAAGAGCAATACACCGAACAAACGAGGGTGCATATTTCCTATAAATTCATATCTTTACCAGTTACATTTGGTGCCGTTTTATTGCGGTGCTGTGTCGTTAACCCTCCAAATCTTGTGGACAACACATCGTCGCGTGTACAATGGCCTCGTCAAAATCAGACGTCTTGCGGGTAAGCAGTAGATTGTGATCATGTGACGGTAACAGCCACGCTCACTATTCCTGTACCACGAAATCAAAGTACTTCTACGACTACACGTGTCCGTGGTTACAACAACATTACTCGTCCGTTGTCGGGGACTCGAGTTCGCGCGATGCTAGTCAAAACAGACAAACGACAAAACGGTCCGCGTGATTTGGTCAAAACGGCCATTTCGCAAGCAATAACCGCGCGCTGTTTGTCAAAACGGCCAGTATAAAAAATCAGATTGAGTGAGTGAATGTGGTTTTAAGCCGCTTTTAGTTTTAGCAATATTTCAGAAATATCACGACGGGTCATCAGAAATGGGCTTCACACATTGTACCCATGTGGGGAATCGAACTGGGGTCTTGGGCATGAGGTGAGGTGAGGTGAAATGGGGTTTAACGTCACGTCCAAGATTATTGCACTTATATAGCGACGTGCATGCACGTGTGTGTGTTTGTGTGGCTGCTTGTACTAGTCCGGACTGATGCCGATTTATAGTGCTAGCCCACTGAGATACCATGCCGCAGTTTAACATGAATACCCCACCCAGACACAGTATACTGACTCCGAGCCGACCAGTCCTTGTTTTAGCCCCTTAGTGCCGAGCACCAGACAGGGTAACAACAAGTACCATCTTTTAACGTCTTTTGGTATGACGCGGACGGACGCACTACCACTAGACCACGGAGGCGGTCGTCTTAGGCATGACACTCGGCTATGACATGACCCAAAGATCAGATTGAAAATATGACATGTTTGTACTCAATATATATTCCTAATAATTTTTGCCGACATAAGTAGATTATATTATTTTTTGGAGTTTTGTGTTTACTTTATAGATAACAGTAAACAAGTTGAAAATAACGATTTATGATTATATAGACTTTCAGTTAATAATAATGCCTGTATAATTTTGGGATTTCACCTACATTAAGCCAACACACTGTAATACAAATGAAATATTATATAATGTGGAGTTAAGCTTTACTTACTCACCATTTATATTCCGCGTCATAATTGAAGCATCACCTAGGTGTGTGTTCAAACATGAACTTGTGCCAACATTAATTCCTTAATATCTATGTGACCCCTTAATAATGATGCTTAAATGAAATTAAGTTGTCTCAACGGTCGCAAGAACCTGTATCTGATTTTAATGAGATTGAAGTAATCTCAGCATGTGATTAATACTGTTTTGTTTATTGTTAAGCAAGTTTATCTCTGTAATCCTGTAATATGCAGCTACTAGCTGACTTGTTTCTCATCAAAACACGGGCTGTGTACTAGGGGGTAGATGACTATGGAGTACACTGATGACTGTGTTGGATTAACAAGACTGATTATTGAGTGATTTCGGTAATTCATTGCAAATAAGGTGCGTCAGTGAGTGAGTGAGTATGGTTTTACACCCCTTTTTAGCAATATTCCAGCAATGCCACAGAAATGTGTTCCACACATTGTACCCATGTCGGGTATTGAACCCGGGTTTTCGGCGTGACGAGCAAACGCTTTAACCGCCTGACCGCCCAGCTGTGTCAGAGTTGGAGTGTGAGACTGTCGGATTAACAGGTTTAAATAGAACTGATTTAATCAGTTCCCATCACTATTGTCGGATAAGGCCGATTGTCGTTTGGATTAATGTTGTTGTTGTTTGTTGTTTGTTGTTTAATGCCGCACTCAGCAATATTCCAGCTATATGACGGAGGTCTGTTAATAATCAAGTCTGGACAAGGGCCCTGTTCCACAAAGCGATAAGATGATCGTAACTCCCATACTTAAACATAGGCTTATGACAGTCGTAGCACTAAGATCGCTTTTTGGAACGGGTCCCAGATAATTTATAGAGGATTCATCACGAGTGTTTTTTAGTATGGGATATATCAACCGAGTCTTAGTTAATCGGTATTTGCCGAGCCTTTGGCGAGGCAAATACCGATTAACGGGACGAGGTTGATATTTCCCATATTAAAAAACACGAGTGATGAATTCTATTTATCATTTTCACATTTTTGCTTCCAAATTAAGGAATAATTGCATTAAACATTAACATCAGCAACTTGTCGAAATCTTACGTATAGATCGTGCGTAGTGATACATGATTTCCATAGCCATGTAAACCAAAATAAACAATTCGCTGAGAAAAAAAGTTCCTCGGATTATTTTAAACAAAATACTTGAACAGACTTTTGCAGAATAATTGAAACTTTAATAACGGTAACAACAACGATTCTGTGTAATCTGATTATATCTCTGGTGTAACTTCACTTATAATATATAGTTTCAAATCAAACTGCTCGCTCTTCCGGTTATCTAATTTGCATATCTAATTTGCATACTTATGTCATTGGGGTATGACATACATGTTTTTATGTCATAAGCTTATGTCATGGATAAATGCTTAAGTTAAATGATAAAGTGACTGACTTCATGAGCATCGATCCACGCTTAAGGATTAACGCATGTGAGATTAACAAGACTTGACTGTATGTAGATATAGATATATAGATATATATATATATATATATATATATATATATATATATATAAAAGAATTTTATTGTACTATATATTTCAGATACTGTGTCTGCATGGATATAGGTGAGTAGATTATTAAGGAAGGAATTGCAGTAGTGGTGATGGTGGTCTTAAGTGAGAAAACACATAAAGAGGTCACATTATAAAACGTTCATTTGAGGAACATTTGAGTTGAGGAAATTTGGTTTGAAGTCACGAGGAATTGAAGCACTTTTCAATCAGTGAAAATAAACTATGAATATCTGAATCAATTTAGAAGCCTCAACGATGATTGAAAGTCCCTTCTGGAGGTGTCTTCAGATCTTCACATTGGGAGGTATTGCATCAGCTTAAAAGATTTAATTAATATTGAACTGAATTGAGGGTATGGTTTGCTTTCAATGCCAAACTCTTAAACTATTTGTTATTTTTATGAAACTTTGCAAATTTATTAGGTTTGTTAGGACTGGTGGCTATCGTTTACACCAGAGACCATATACCGGTATATATCGGTATATGGTCTCTGTTTACACAGAAGTCTAAGATTATTTAACATGCAAGGCTGGAGAGGAAGGTGGATGATTAGCCAGCTTATGTTGTCGACCGCTGTCCTCATCTTGGTTGTCCTTAAACTTTTTACATTTTCGACTTGACTTCTCCGAAATGGCTCGATGGAGGTAGCTCATTTTTGTGCTTGGTACTATTAGGGGTCTAGTTGATACAGGGCATTACAATTGTAACTTCAATATGGTTGTCAGGTAGCCATCTTTGATTTAAAAAAAGAAAAGTCCATCTTGTTGAAGACGTAAGGACCAGAGTCCTGAAACGTGGTGTGTGAGGTGGTCACGCTATGAAGTAGCGCAAACTTGGTGTGTGAGGTGGTCACACTATGAAGTAGCGCAAACTTGGTATGTGAGGTGGTCACGCTATGAAGTAGCACAAACTTGGTGTGTGAGGTGGTCACGCTATGAAGTAGCGCAAACTTGGTATGTGAGGTGATCACGCTATGAAGTAGCTCAAACTTGGTATGTGAGGTGGTCACGCTATGAAGTAGTGCAAACTTGGTATGTGAGATGGTCACGCTATGAAGTAGCGCAAACTTGGTTTGTGAGGTGATCACACTATGAAGTAGCACAAACTTGGTATGTGAGGTGGTCACGCTATGAAGTAGCGCAAACTTGGTATGTGAGGTGGTCACGCTATGAAGTAGTGCAAACTTGGTATGTGAGGTGGTCACGCTATGAAGTAGCGCAAACTTGGTATGTGAGGTGATCACACTATGAAGTAGCACAAACTTGGTATGTGAGGTGGTCACGCTATGAAGTAGCGCAAAGTTGGTATGTGAGGTGGTCACGCTATGAAGTAGCGCAAACTTGGTATGTGAGGTGGTCACGCTATGAAGTAGCGCAAACTTGGTATGTGAGGTGGTCACGCTATGAAGTAGTGCAAACTTGGTGTGTGAGGTGGTCACGCTATGAGGTAGTGCAAGTCTGTTCACGGCATCTTGAAATGTCTGCAAGCGGCCATATTGGAAACTAGGAAAAGTCATGATTTATCCATCGTAAACATCTTTTCCGCAGAAACCAGTAGACCATGTGTAGTTAGTTTTGCAATATTATATGTTTTGACCTTCTTTGAGCATTCTCTTAAATTATCTCAAAATGTATATTTCTCCCTGTAAATGCTTCTGTTCTGAAATTGCCAACCTGGGACAGCTGAATTTTAGCATGCATGTTTCTCCTTATGAGGACATCATGATTTGTTCAATTATTTAGATCTTAGAGTTAGTTTTTCATATTAATGCAGGAAATATTTGAAGCTCAATGCTGAACATTGTTCAAGGGCTGTGGGGTTTTTTTTTAGAGGGGGGGGTGGGGGGGGGGGGGGGGGGGAGTCTTAAACTGTTGACTTCTTATCCAGGTGAGCTAAAATGAAACAATTTGTTTTTCTTTTTGTCATCATGTCTCTCTCCTTGGCGTTACCATCCTATTCCAGGCCATAACTTGGAAACCTTTTAATATTTTTCAACGAAACTTGGCATATGCATTGCTTATTAGCATAAAATGGTGCCTTTTGCTATTTTAAAAAATTTCAAATTATATTTTTTTATGTTTTTATCGGGACAATTTTCAACTTCGTCTCAAACAAGGGTAGGGTTTGTTTCCGGGCCATAATTGAAAACCTTTCAAAACTTTTCAACTAAACTTGGTCTATGCATTGCTCATCAGCTAATAACTGGTGCTTTTTGCTATTATAAAACATTTCAAAATTATATTTTTTATGTTTCCATGGAAACAATTTTCTTGGCTATAACTTGAAAACCTTTCAACATTTTACAACAAAACTTAGCTCATCAGCTTGACTGGTGCATTTTGCTATTTTTAAAGTTTTCTTAAACTTATTTCCTTACATGTTCCATGGGAACAATTTTGAGTTTGTCTCAAACAACTCTTGGCCATAACTCTCAAACTAATATTTTATTTTTGCATGAAATTATACATGTGCAATGACCACATGGTCAACTATTGTCTTTTTAATTTTTTTAATTTTTAGTTTTTTTAATGTCTTGTGTATCCAAAGAAACATGAGGGGAGACTTTTGTTTTAATGAGGAAAAACAGATTCTTGTTGCATCTTTATCTTCATTCCAGGCAGAATGGACAGACTTTCAGGGAACGTACTGGAGCATTCAGGAAACTTACCAAGAAACATGCAGAATTGGGTGAGATTTGAGTCTTAGCAATGAGGATGATGATGATGATGATGATGATGTTGTTGATGTTGATGATGATGATGATGATGATGATGATGGAGTTTTAATAAGTGCTTCCAGAGGACCCGATTTCAAACTTGGCAGATCTTTTTTGCACAAAAACTGGTTTTATCAAGGACAATATTTCTGACTTTTACATTGTTTTTGTATAAATACTTTACACAATACAGGTTTACACATTGTGCAGACCGTCTTGTATGTTTATGCTTTCATAAACACAAATTCTTAAGGAAAATGAATAATCATTACTTGATTACACCCTGGGGGCACGGGTGGCCCAGTCGTCTAAGGCGTCTGACTTGGTTGATGCATGTCATTGTATCCCAACTGCTTGGATCAATGCTCATGATATCAATCACTGGATTTTCTGGTCGAGACTCGATTATGTACAGACTGCCATCAAATAGCTGGATTATTGCGAGTGGAATGTTAAACAGCAAACAAACAAACAAATGAAATAAATATACAAGAAAGTCCGGGGGTCGATCCTCAACCACATCAAACTTACAGACTTTATAGCTAAAATGAATAGAATTATCATTAAATCGCCCGCATGTTATCAGAAATGAGCGGGCCACTGTAAATGATAATGCCCTCATATTGCTTGACGACGGGCCATTATCACGCCTGTTGTTAGGTGACATCATAGGATAGGGATAGGTGACATCGGGCAGTTAATAGAAGACCTCGGGCTTCTGCAAATGATATTGCCCTGAAAAATAGTGTTACCGTTACATTAACAGATGGTACTTGTTACCTTGTCTAGGCTTTTAGAGGAAAAAACAACGACTGGTCAGCTCTGAGTCAGTATACTATACATGGGCGGATACAAAGGAGGGGGGGTGGGTGTGCACCCCCCCTTTTTATTTCGAAAAAAATCTTTATTTCTGTATAAATTACCATCAAAGACAATAAATAGATCTTAATTGTGCACCCCCCCTTTTAAAAAAAGCTGTATCCGCCCATGCTATATCTGAGTTGAATGTCAGTGTTAAACTGAAGCATGTATTTTTCAGTGTTCATCACAGCTCCGAACATTGTTCCACCAGCGAAGGGCTCGGAGGATGGAGAATCCCCACATTCTGGTAGGTCAAATAACCTCTTTTTGTCCTCCCTTTCGCTTCATCTGTTTTGCTGTATCATACACCCAGATTTTCTAACATCTTCAACCTTGAAACACATTTTTGTGATTTTTGGTTTCATGTGCCCCCCAACCCTTCTGGAAAGCAGCTGGAAAATAAATAAATTAAACATGAATATATTTATTTTTGTTATGTCTCCTGCTAGTAATATAGACCCTGATAGAAAAAAAATAATGTTATATTTCAATTCTATGTGTATGATTTCATTGAGTCAGCATCCTGTGGAGATAAATGCGGGTTTGACAAGACAAACCAGTGATTGACATCATGAGCATCGATCTTCACAATTGCAATATCACCCAGGCATTTGGTCGCCTCTTATGACATTGATTGCAGGGTACCTATATTCCTATCCAGAAATCCCACAGGTTTCTGTTGAGCAACAGTACTAACTTTCTTTTCTCCTTTAAACCATCTTCCCGAGGCAAGGGTTAACAGCCTAGAAAAGACCAGCTTCCACCCTTGCCGAACAACGCTGGAATTTAGTGGCTCGATTATAGCACCACCAGTCGCTTCTATGTCCCTCCTATTGACCAATCAGATTCCACCTCTCACATCACTTTGTGTGCATTTGCTTCAGATACAGATAGCTTTCCAAATCTTTTCAAGCTTTTTAATCAAGGTGCTCACAGGATTTGATGAATGGATGGATCTTTATTATTGCTCTGATCGTCTTCATTGGGCGCCGCCATTATATTTGAAGAAAATGCAAGTGATGTGAGAGGTGGAATCTGATTGGTCAATAAGAGGGGCATAGAAGGGACATAACTTGTAATAGCCACTGGTGGCGAAACGGTCGAGCCCAGAAACTCCAGCCTAGTTTGGTAAGATTGAAAACCAGACTTTTATAGTCAGTCAACTCCCTTGCCTTGAGTTGTTTACGAATACGGTTGTTTAAGGTTGTTTGAATAGGCTCGTTAGTCCAGACAAAAAACTTCAGAATTCCAGCCTGGTTCGGCAAGGCTGGAAAGTGGACTTTTACAGTCAGTTAACTCCCTTGCCTCGGGAAGATGAGGATAGAAGGCAATAGATATGGTATCTATGTATGAATGTGAGTTAAGATTTAGCATTGCCTGGACAACGTTTCGTCCATAAAGCGACTTATCTTGATGAATATGATAAGATGCCGAAAGAGCTCTCAAAAATATTTAAGCATTCAAAATTAATGCACTTATGAACGGTTGTTTTGGTTTGATTTGTTGTTTTACGCCGCACTCGGCAATATTCCAGCTGTATGACGGCGGTCTGTATATAATCGAGTTTGGTCCAGACAATCCAGTGATTGACATCATAAGCATTGGTCTACACAATTGAGATACAAAAACATGCATCAACCAAGTCAGCGAGCCTACCAGCAGATCTTAGTCTACGACAAGCATAGTCGCCTTTCATGGCAAGCATGGGTTGCTGATGACCTATTCTACCCTGGATCTTCACGGATCTATGAATGGTTGTGAAATTGTTAAAGTTAACTTGACTTAAGACTTGTTAACATAACTAAGCTCTAGGTGACTTATGTCATAGATTGATATTTGATGTACATGCTAGAGTGAGTGAGTGAGTTGGGTTTTACTTATGAACGGTTGTTGTTGCCTCAGGAAGAAGGTGGAAGAGTGAGTGCGTGTGATGACTTACTCTCTTTTTTCCTTACACTCTGACTAACTCACTCACTCACTCTCTGCCTCACTCACTCTTTGACTTTCTTTCTTACTTACACTCTGACTAACTCACTCACTCACTCACTCACTCACTCTCTGCCTCACTCACTCTTTGACTTACTCTCTTTCTTACTTACACTCTGACTCACTCACTCACTCACTCTCTGCCTCACTCAAACTCATTCAGAGAGTGAGTGAGTCATTCAGTAAGCGTTTTGTTTGTTTATTTTTTTTTTAATGCCACACTCAGCAATATTCCAGCTATATGACGGCGGTCTGTAAATAATTGAGTCAGTCAGTCAGTCAGTCAGTCAGATTTTATCCTGCTTTTAGCATCATGGTAGGAGAGTGAGTGAGTGAGTCAGTTAGCATCATGATAGGAGAGTGAGTGAGTGAGTCATTTAGCATTATGGTAGGAGAGTGAGTGAGTGAGTGAGTGAGTTATCATCATGGTAGGAGAGTGAGTGAGTCAGTTAGCATCATGGTAGAAGAGTGAGTGAGTGAGTGAGTTAGCATCATGGTAGGAGAGTGAGTGAGTTAGCATCATGGTAGGAGAGTGAGTGAGTGAGTCAGTTAGCATCATGGTAGGATTGAGTGAGTCAGTCAGTTAGCATCATGGTAGAAGAGTGAGTGAGTGAGTCAGTTAGGATCATGGTAGGAGAGTGAGTTAGTCAGTTAGCATTATGGTAGGAGAGTGAGTGAGTGAGTCAGTTAGCATCATGGTAGAAGATTGAGTGAGTGAGTCAGTTAGCATCATGGTAGGAGAGTGAGTCAGTCAGTCAGTTAGCTTCATGGTAGGAGAGTGAGTGAGTGAGTCAGTTAGCATCATGGTAGGAGAGTGAGTGAGTCAGTCAGTTAGGATCATGGTAGAAGAGTGAATGAGTCAGTCAGTCAGTTAGCATCATGGTAGGAGAGTGAGTCAGTGAGTCAGTTAGCATCATGGTAGGAGAGTGAGTCAGTGAGTCAGTTAGCATCATGGTAGGAGAGTGAGTCAGTGAGTCAGTTAGCATCATGGTAGGAGAGTGAGTCAGTCAGTCAGTTAGCAGCATGGTAGAAGTGTGAGTGAGTCATCTAGCATCATGGTAGGAGAGTGAGTGAGTCAGTTAGCATCATGGTAGGAGAGTGAGTGAGTCAGTTAGCATCATGGTAGGAGAGTGAGTTAGTTAGTCAGTTAGCATCATGGTAGGATTGAGTGAGTGAGTCAGTTAGCATCATGGTAGAAGAGTGAGTGAGTGAGTCAGTTAGGATCATGGTAGGAGAGTGAGTGAGTCAGTTAGCATTATGGTAGGAGAGTGAGTGAGTGAGTCAGTTAGGATCATGGTAGAAGAGTGAGTGAGTCAGTCAGTCAGTTAGCATCATGGTAGGAGAGTGAGTCAGTCAGTCAGTTAGCATCATGTTAGGAGAGTGAGTGAGTGAGTCAGTTAGCATCATGGTAGGAGAGTGAGTCAGTGAGTCAGTTAGCATCATGGTAGGAGAGTGAGTGAGTGAGTCAGTTAGCAGCATGGTAGAAGTGTGAGTGAGTGAGTCAGTTAGCATCATGGTAGGAGAGTGAGTGAGTGAGTCAGTTAGCATCATGGTAGGATTGAGTGAGTGAGTCAGTTAGCATCATGGTAGGAGAGTGAGTGAGTGAGTCAGTTAGCATCATGGTAGGATTGAGTGAGTCAGTCAGTTAGCATCATGGTAGAAGAGTGAGTGAGTGAGTCAGTTAGGATCATGGTAGGAGAGTGAGTTAGTCAGTTAGCATTATGGTAGGAGAGTGAGTGAGTGAGTCAGTTAGCATCATGGTAGAAGAGTGAGTGAGTGAGTCAGTTAGCATCATGGTAGGAGAGTGAGACAGTCAGTCAGTTAGCTTCATGGTAGGAGAGTGAGTGAGTGAGTCAGTTAGCATCATGGTAGGAGAGTGAGTCAGTCAGTCAGTTAGGATCATGGTAGAAGAGTGAATGAGTCAGTCAGTCAGTTAGCATCATGGTAGGAGAGTGAGTCAGTGAGTCAGTTAGCATCATGGTAGGAGAGTGAGTCAGTGAGTCAGTTAGCATCATGGTAGGAGAGTGAGTCAGTCAGTCAGTTAGCAGCATGGTAGAAGTGTGAGTGAGTCATCTAGCATCATGGTAGGAGAGTGAGTGAGTCAGTTAGCATCATGGTAGGAGAGTGAGTTAGTGAGTCAGTTAGCATCATGGTAGGATTGAGTGAGTGAGTCAGTTAGCATCATGGTAGAAGAGTGAGTGAGTGAGTCAGTTAGGATCATGGTAGGAGAGTGAGTGAGTCAGTTAGCATTATGGTAGGAGAGTGAGTGAGTGAGTCAGTTAGGATCATGGTAGAAGAGTGAGTGAGTCAGTCAGTCAGTTAGCATCATGGTAGGAGAGTGAGTCAGTCAGTCAGTTAGCATCATGGTAGGAGAGTGAGTCAGTCAGTCAGTTAGCATCATGGTAGGAGAGTGAGTGAGTGAGTCAGTCAGTTAGCATCATGGTAGGAGAGTGAGTGAGTCAGTTAGCATCATGGTAGGAGAGTGAGTCAGTGAGTCAGTTAGCATCATGGTAGGAGAGTGAGTGAGTGAGTCAGTTAGCAGCATGGCAGGAGAGTGAGTCAGTCAGTCAGTTAGCAGCATGGTAGAAGTGTGAGTGAGTCAGTTAGCAACATGGTAGGAGAGTGAGTGAGTTAGTTAGCATCATGGCAGGAGAGTGAGTGAGTCAGTCAGTTAGCAGCATGGTAGAAATGTGAGTGAGTCAGTTACCATCATGGTAGGAGAGTGAGTGAGTTAGTTAGCATCATGGCAGGAGAGTGAGTGAGTCAGTCAGTTAGCAGCATGGTAGAAATGTGAGTGAGTCAGTTACCATCATGGTAGGAGAGTGAGTGAGTTAGTTAGCATCATGGTAGGAGAGTGAGTGAGTGAGTCAGTTAGCATAATGGTAGGATTGAGTGAGTGAGTCAGTTAGCATCATGGTAGGAGTGAGTGAGTGAGTGAATATGGTTTTACGCCGCTTTTAGCTATATTCCAGCCATATAACGGCGGGGGACACCAGAAATTGGCTGCACAGATTGTACCAATGTCGGGAATCGAACCCGGGTCTTCGGCATGACGAGCGAACGATTTAACCATTAGGCTACCAGACCGCCCCCATCATGGTATGAGAGTGAGTGAGTCAGTTAGCATCATGGTAGGAGAGTGAGTGAGTGAGTCAGTTAGCATCATGGTAGGAGAGTGAGTGAGTGAGTCAGTTAGCATCATGGTAGGAGAGTGAGTGAGTGAGTCAGTTAGCATCATGGCAGGAGAGTGAGTGAGTGAGTCAGTTAGCATCATGGTAGGAGAGTGAGTGAGTGAGTCAGTTAGCATCATGGTAGGAGAGTGAGTGAGTGAGTCAGTTAGCATCATGGCAGGAGAGTGAGTGAGTGAGTCAGTTAGCATCATGGTAGGAGAGTGAGTGAGTGAGTCAGTTAGCATCATGGCAGGAGAGTGAGTGAGTGAGTCAGTTAGCATCATGGTAGGAGAGTGAGTGAGTGAGTCAGTTAGCATCATGGCAGGAGAGTGAGTGAGTGAGTCAGTTAGCATCATGGTAGGAGAGTGAGTGAGTGAGTCAGTTAGCATCATGGTAGGAGAGTGAGTGAGTGAGTCAGTTAGCATCATGGTAGGAGAGTGAGTGAGTGAGTCAGTTAGCATCATGGTAGGAGAGTGAGTGAGTGAGTCAGTTAGCATCATGGTAGGAGAGTGAGTGAGTGAGTCAGTTAGCATCATGGTAGGAGAGTGAGTGAGTGAGTCAGTTAGCATCATGGTAGGAGAGTGAGTGAGTGAGTCAGTTAGCATCATGGTAGGAGAGTGAGTGAGTGAGTCAGTTAGCATCATGGTAGGAGAGTGAGTGAGTGAGTCAGTTAGCATCATGGTAGGAGAGTGAGTGAGTGAGTCAGTTAGCATCATGGTAGGAGAGTGAGTGAGTGAGTCAGTTAGCATCATGGTAGGAGAGTGAGTGAGTGAGTCAGTTAGCATCATGGTAGGAGAGTGAGTGAGTGAGTCAGTTAGCATCATGGTAGGAGAGTGAGTGAGTGAGTCAGTTAGCATCATGGTAGGAGAGTGAGTGAGTGAGTCAGTTAGCATCATGGTAGGAGAGTGAGTGAGTGAGTCAGTTAGCATCATGGTAGGAGAGTGAGTGAGTGAGTCAGTTAGCATCATGGTAGGAGAGTGAGTGAGTGAGTCAGTTAGCATCATGGTAGGAGAGTGAGTGAGTGAGTCAGTTAGCATCATGGTAGGAGAGTGAGTGAGTGAGTCAGTTAGCATCATGGTAGGAGAGTGAGTGAGTGAGTCAGTTAGCATCATGGTAGGAGAGTGAGTGAGTGAGTCAGTTAGCATCATGGTAGGAGAGTGAGTGAGTGAGTCAGTTAGCATCATGGTAGGAGAGTGAGTGAGTGAGTCAGTTAGCATCATGGTAGGAGAGTGAGTGAGTGAGTCAGTTAGCATCATGGTAGGAGAGTGAGTGAGTGAGTCAGTTAGCATCATGGTAGGAGAGTGAGTGAGTGAGTCAGTTAGCATCATGGTAGGAGAGTGAGTGAGTGAGTCAGTTAGCATCATGGTAGGAGAGTGAGTGAGTGAGTCAGTTAGCATCATGGTAGGAGAGTGAGTGAGTGAGTCAGTTAGCATCATGGTAGGAGAGTGAGTGAGTGAGTCAGTTAGCATCATGGTAGGAGAGTGAGTGAGTGAGTCAGTTAGCATCATGGTAGGAGAGTGAGTGAGTGAGTCAGTTAGCATCATGGTAGGAGAGTGAGTGAGTGAGTCAGTTAGCATCATGGTAGGAGAGTGAGTGAGTGAGTCAGTTAGCATCATGGTAGGAGAGTGAGTGAGTGAGTCAGTTAGCATCATGGTAGGAGAGTGAGTGAGTGAGTCAGTTAGCATCATGGTAGGAGAGTGAGTGAGTGAGTCAGTTAGCATCATGGTAGGAGAGTGAGTGAGTGAGTCAGTTAGCATCATGGTAGGAGAGTGAGTGAGTGAGTCAGTTAGCATCATGGTAGGAGAGTGAGTGAGTGAGTCAGTTAGCATCATGGTAGGAGAGTGAGTGAGTGAGTCAGTTAGCATCATGGTAGGAGAGTGAGTGAGTGAGTCAGTTAGCATCATGGTAGGAGAGTGAGTGAGTGAGTCAGTTAGCATCATGGTAGGAGAGTGAGTGAGTGAGTCAGTTAGCATCATGGTAGGAGAGTGAGTGAGTGAGTCAGTTAGCATCATGGTAGGAGAGTGAGTGAGTGAGTCAGTTAGCATCATGGTAGGAGAGTGAGTGAGTGAGTCAGTTAGCATCATGGTAGGAGAGTGAGTGAGTGAGTCAGTTAGCATCATGGTAGGAGAGTGAGTGAGTGAGTCAGTTAGCATCATGGTAGGAGAGTGAGTGAGTGAGTCAGTTAGCATCATGGTAGGAGAGTGAGTGAGTGAGTCAGTTAGCATCATGGTAGGAGAGTGAGTGAGTGAGTCAGTTAGCATCATGGTAGGAGAGTGAGTGAGTGAGTCAGTTAGCATCATGGTAGGAGAGTGAGTGAGTGAGTCAGTTAGCATCATGGTAGGAGAGTGAGTGAGTGAGTCAGTTAGCATCATGGTAGGAGAGTGAGTGAGTGAGTCAGTTAGCATCATGGTAGGAGAGTGAGTGAGTGAGTCAGTTAGCATCATGGTAGGAGAGTGAGTGAGTGAGTCAGTTAGCATCATGGTAGGAGAGTGAGTGAGTGAGTCAGTTAGCATCATGGTAGGAGAGTGAGTGAGTGAGTCAGTTAGCATCATGGTAGGAGAGTGAGTGAGTGAGTCAGTTAGCATCATGGTAGGAGAGTGAGTGAGTGAGTCAGTTAGCATCATGGTAGGAGAGTGAGTGAGTGAGTCAGTTAGCATCATGGTAGGAGAGTGAGTGAGTGAGTCAGTTAGCATCATGGTAGGAGAGTGAGTGAGTGAGTCAGTTAGCATCATGGTAGGAGAGTGAGTGAGTGAGTCAGTTAGCATCATGGTAGGAGAGTGAGTGAGTGAGTCAGTTAGCATCATGGTAGGAGAGTGAGTGAGTGAGTCAGTTAGCATCATGGTAGGAGAGTGAGTGAGTGAGTCAGTTAGCATCATGGTAGGAGAGTGAGTGAGTGAGTCAGTTAGCATCATGGTAGGAGAGTGAGTGAGTGAGTCAGTTAGCATCATGGTAGGAGAGTGAGTGAGTGAGTCAGTTAGCATCATGGTAGGAGAGTGAGTGAGTGAGTCAGTTAGCATCATGGTAGGAGAGTGAGTGAGTGAGTCAGTTAGCATCATGGTAGGAGAGTGAGTGAGTGAGTCAGTTAGCATCATGGTAGGAGAGTGAGTGAGTGAGTCAGTTAGCATCATGGTAGGAGAGTGAGTGAGTGAGTCAGTTAGCATCATGGTAGGAGAGTGAGTGAGTGAGTCAGTTAGCATCATGGTAGGAGAGTGAGTGAGTGAGTCAGTTAGCATCATGGTAGGAGAGTGAGTGAGTGAGTCAGTTAGCATCATGGTAGGAGAGTGAGTGAGTGAGTCAGTTAGCATCATGGTAGGAGAGTGAGTGAGTGAGTCAGTTAGCATCATGGTAGGAGAGTGAGTGAGTGAGTCAGTTAGCATCATGGTAGGAGAGTGAGTGAGTGAGTCAGTTAGCATCATGGTAGGAGAGTGAGTGAGTGAGTCAGTTAGCATCATGGTAGGAGAGTGAGTGAGTGAGTCAGTTAGCATCATGGTAGGAGAGTGAGTGAGTGAGTCAGTTAGCATCATGGTAGGAGAGTGAGTGAGTGAGTCAGTTAGCATCATGGTAGGAGAGTGAGTGAGTGAGTCAGTTAGCATCATGGTAGGAGAGTGAGTGAGTGAGTCAGTTAGCATCATGGTAGGAGAGTGAGTGAGTGAGTCAGTTAGCATCATGGTAGGAGAGTGAGTGAGTGAGTCAGTTAGCATCATGGTAGGAGAGTGAGTGAGTGAGTCAGTTAGCATCATGGTAGGAGAGTGAGTGAGTGAGTCAGTTAGCATCATGGTAGGAGAGTGAGTGAGTGAGTCAGTTAGCATCATGGTAGGAGAGTGAGTGAGTGAGTCAGTTAGCATCATGGTAGGAGAGTGAGTGAGTGAGTCAGTTAGCATCATGGTAGGAGAGTGAGTGAGTGAGTCAGTTAGCATCATGGTAGGAGAGTGAGTGAGTGAGTCAGTTAGCATCATGGTAGGAGAGTGAGTGAGTGAGTCAGTTAGCATCATGGTAGGAGAGTGAGTGAGTGAGTCAGTTAGCATCATGGTAGGAGCCCAAACTGACAACAAGTAGGTGTACAGGTTCACATGTCCCGTGTTTCTCAGATGAGCGGGGATGGTGGTTTTCACATGAAGATGACAGCTACAGTGCCCAAGATGTCAGTGAGTGCTGCAAGGGATGTGATGAATCTGTGGAGATGGTCAAAAGGTCCATTCTGGAACAGGTAAACTCAGGGGAATGCCAAGATGTATGTTGAGTGAATCCTTATTAACCCTGTGTACAACACACCACACCATTTAGAACAGATCACTACATGTAGAACACACCAGATCATGTGGAACACACCATATCATGTGGAACATATCACACCATTTAGAACACACCATATCATTTAGAACACACCATATCATGTAGAACACACCATATCATGTAGAACACACCATATCATGTAGAACACACCGTATCATGTAGAACACACCATATCATGTAGAACACACCATATCATGTAGAACACACCATATCATGTAGAACACACCATATCATGTAGAACACACCATATCATGTGGAACACACCATATCATGTAGAACACACCATATCATGTAGAACACACCATATCATGTAGAACACACCATATCATGTAGAACACACCATATCATGTAGAACACACCATATCATGTGGAACATATCACACCATTTAGAACACACCATATCATTTAGAACACACCATATCATGTAGAACACACCATATCATGTAGAACACACCGTATCATGTAGAACACACCATATCATGTAGAACACACCATATCATGTAGAACACACCATATCATGTAGAACACACCATATCATGTAGAACACACCATATCATGTAGAACACACCGTATCATGTAGAACACACCATATCATGTGGAACATACCATATCATGTAGAACACACCATATCATGTAGAACACACCGTATCATGTGGAACATATCACACCATTTAGAACACACCAGATCATGTGGAACACACCAGATCATGTGGAACATATCACACCATTTAGAACACACCATATCATTTAGAACACACCATATCATGTAGAACACACCATATCATGTAGAACACACCGTATCATGTAGCACACACCATATCATTTAGAACACACCATATCATGTAGAACACACCATATCATGTAGAACACACCATATCATTTAGAACACACCATATCATGTAGAACACACCATATCATGTAGAACATATCACACCATTTAGAACACACCATATCATGTAGAACACACCATATCATTTAGAACACACCATATCATTTAGAACACACCATATCATGTAGAACACACCATATCATGTAGAACACACCATATCATGTAGAACACACCATATCATGTAGAACACACCATATCATGTGGAACATATCACACCATTTAGAACACACCATATCATGTAGAACACACCATATCATGTAGAACACACCATATCATGTGGAACATATCACACCATTTAGAACACACCATATCATGTAGAACACACCATATCATGTAGAACACACCATATCATGTGGAACATATCACACCATTTAGAACACACCATATCATGTAGAACACACCGTATCATGTGGAACATATCACACCATTTAGAACACACCATATCATTTAGAACACACCATATCATGTAGAACACACCATATCATGTAGAACACACCATATCATGTAGAACACACCGTATCATGTAGAACATACCATATCATGTAGAACACACCATATCATGTAGAACACACCATATCATGTAGAACACACCATATCATGTAGAACACACCATATCATGTAGAACACACCATATCATGTGGAACATATCACACCATTTAGAACACACCATATCATTTAGAACACACCATATCATGTAGAACACACCATATCATGTGGAACATATCACACCATTTAGAACACACCATATCATTTAGAACACACCATATCATGTAGAACACACCATATCATTTAGAACACACCATATCATGTAGAACACACCATATCATGTAGAACACACCATATCGTGTAGAACACACCGTATCATTTAGAACACACCATATCATGTAGAACACACCATATCATGTAGAACACACCATATCATGTAGAACACACCGTATCATGTGGAACATATCACACCATTTAGAACACACCATATCATTTAGAACACACCATATCATGTGGAACACACCGTATCATGTGGAACATATCACACCATTTAGAACACACCATATCATTTAGAACACACCATATCATTTAGAACACACCATATCATGTAGAACACACCATATCATGTAGAACACACCATATCATGTAGAACACACCATATCATGTGGAACATATCACACCATTTAGAACACACCATATCATTTAGAACACACCATATCATGTGGAACATATCACACCATTTAGAACACACCATATCATTTAGAACACACCATATCATGTAGAACACACCGTATCATGTGGAACATATCACACCATTTAGAACACACCATATCATTTAGAACACACCATATCATGTAGAACACACCGTATCATGTGGAACATATCACACCATTTAGAACACACCATATCATTTAGAACACACCATATCATGTAGAACACACCATATCATGTAGAACATATCACACCATTTAGAACACACCATATCATTTAGAACACACCATATCATGTAGAACACACCATATCATGTAGAACATATCACACCATTTAGAACACACCATATCATTTAGAACACACCATATCATGTAGAACACACCATATCATTTAGAACACACCATATCATGTGGAACATATCACACCATTTAGAACACACCATATCATTTAGAACACACCATATCATGTAGAACACACCGTATCATGTGGAACATATCACACCATTTAGAACACACCATATCATTTAGAACACACCATATCATGTAGAACACACCATATCATGTAGAACATATCACACCATTTAGAACACACCATATCATTTAGAACACACCATATCATGTAGAACACACCATATCATGTAGAACATATCACACCATTTAGAACACACCATATCATGTAGAACACACCATATCATGTAGAACACACCAGATCATGTAGAACACACCATATCATGTAGAACACACCATATCATGTAGAACACACCATATCATGTGGAACATATCACACCATTTAGAACACACCATATCATGTAGAACACACCATATCATGTAGAACACACCATATCATGTAGAACATATCACACCATTTAGAACACACCATATCATTTAGAACACACCATATCATGTAGAACACACCATATCATGTAGAACACACCATATCATGTGGAACATATCACACCATTTAGAACACACCATATCATTTAGAACACACCACACCATTTAGAACACACCACACCATATAGAACACACCACACCATATAGAACACACCACACCATATAGAAGACACCACATCATATAGAACACACCACACCATTTAGAACACACCACACCATTTAGAACACACCTTGTACAACCTGGCACATGGTGTAGAACTGATCACACCATTTAGAACACACCACACCATTTAGAACACACCACACCATATAGAAGACACCACATCATATAGAACACACCACACCATTTAGAACACACCTTGTACAACCTGGCACACGGTGTAGAACAGATCACACCATTTAGAACACACCACACTATATAGAACACACCACACCATATAGAACACACTCTGTACAACCAGGCACACTGTGTAGAACAGATCACACCATTTAGAACACACCACACCATTTAGAACACACCACACCATTTAGAACACACTCTGTACAACCAGGCACACGGTGTAGGACAGATCACACCATTTAGAACACACCACACCATTTAGAACACACTCTGTACAACCAGGCACACGGTGTAGGACAGATCACACCATTAAGAACACACCACACCATATAGAACACACTCTGTACAACCAGGCACACGGTGTAGAACAGATCACACCATTTAGAACACACCACACCATTTAGAACACACCACACCATTTAGAACACACTCTGTACAACCAGGCACACGGTGTAGAACAGATCACACCATTAAGAACACACCACACCATATAGAACACACTCTGTACAACCAGGCACATGGTGTAGAACACACCACACCATATAGAACACACCACACCATTTAGAACACACTCTGTACAACCTGGCACACGGTGTAGGACAGATCACACCATTTAGAACACACCACACCATATAGAACACACTCTGTACAACCTGGCACATGGTGTATAACAGATCACACCATTTAGAACACACCACACCATATAGAACACACTCTGTACAACCAGGCACACGGTGTAGAACAGATCACACCATTTAGAACACACCACACCATTTAGAACACACTCTGTACAACCTGGCACACAGTGTAGAACACACCACACCATTTAGAACACACCACACCATTTAGAACACACTCTGTACAACCTGGCACACGGTGTAGAACAGATCACACCATTTAGAATTATGTTTCTGGGTTTTGCCAAAGTCTAACACCTGCATCACTTGGGCTTTCATCCCACATAAAGCTGACATGTCTTGATGGAAGACTGGAATACTGTTTAATGTTGCGCTAAAACCAACTCACTCACTCACTGAATGACACAACAGAGTTTGTTCCAAGTATATTTAGTAGATGTGAGTCAGTGAGTCAGTGAGTCAGGTTTGGTTTGAAACCTCTTGTATATGCAAGTGAAAAATAGTATTTTATGCTCAAACTATTATGAAAATAATTTTTGTAACTTCCAGCTATGTTATTGCTTCACATCATAAAACACATTTTTCCAAAGTTTCCTATATAATAATTTGTAGTAAAAGTTTAATTTTAACATATTGAGTATTCTTTAAAACTGCTGGATTATTAAAAATATTTGGTAATTCAGCTAAACAGATATTATCATCAAATAAAAAAATATATACAACTCAACTTTTGATTAAGGATATTGTGCGTGTCCATTTTGGGTCTGAACGAGACTAATTGTTTTGGACATGTTGTCTTACAAATAGTATCTGATATTGCAGCACTGAAATGTGCCTTTTCTTGCAGGGTCCTTTTGACGGCATACTTGGATTCAGCCAGGGAGCCTGCTTGTTGTCGTTAATTTGTTGTCTTCGAGAAAGAGATCCAGGTAGGAACACTGGCAATACTAGGCGTTTTTTTTAATACGTACAATACATTCCTCCAACACCCATGAATCAACCTTCAGAATGTTTTATCTCAAAAAGAGAGAAACACAGATCTATATTGTCATGACGGCGCACCCTCTCGTGCCTTGGCATTAGAAACGACACAAAACACATCCACAACATAACGGTCATTATTTTTTTCCATTTGGAACTTACCGTTTATGATTGTTTTTGACTACGGTACTTCGCTCACTTATACTGATAATTTGGAAGCCTCTTCTCAGGTTGCCTGATTGGAGAGTTCACCTCATATGACCTGTAGGGCTTAGATCTTGACCGAGAGGTATCAACTCAGAGTAAAAGATCTACTCTTAATGTTTTGTTTTTTTGTTTGTTGTTTAATACCGCAGTCAGCATTATTCCAGCTATACGACTGCAGTCTGTAAATATTCAAGTCTGGACCTGAAAACCCAGTGATTGACATCATGAGCATGGATCTATGCAAAGTGGGATGAAAGCCCGAAGTGATGCAGGCGTTAGACTTTGGCGAAACCCAGAAACATAATTCTAAATGGTGTGATCTGTTCTACACCGTGTGCCGAGTCTGAAAACCCGATCACGTTAGACATGGGTTCTGAAGACCATATCTAACCTGGAGTTTCACTGGGCTCCTTTTAATAAGAATGGTAGATTACCTTGAAGAGAATTTGAACCAAGATTGTACTGTAAACCTGTTTAACTGTATGAAATTGGCTTTCTTCCACAGATCTTTTCAACTTTAACTTTGCGATTTTTATTGCTGGGTTCAAGAGCAGGTGTATCCCTCATGAAAGCTTCTATGAAACACTAGTTACTGTACCAACACTACATGTGTTTGGGGACACTGACAAGGTCATACCAAAAGGTAATTATTTTTGTACAGTAGAACACGGATATAACAAACACGGATAGAGCGAACAAGCCGATACAACGAACTGTTGAAAAATCCCCGATTTATCTCCTATATAATATGGGGGCACGGGTGGCCAAGTCATCTAAGGCGCCGCGATTCACTGTGCAGAGTTGCATCCCTTGGGCATGCCAGAAACCTATGATTGTGGGTTCGAATCCCAGTTTCCCCCGATTATGTTTCTAGGTTTGTCAGCACCATACCCGTGCTCGTGGGTTTCACCGAAGTGGTAAACGTCTGAGACCTGCATCATTTCGGGCTTTCCTCCCACATTAAGCTGACACGCCGTGATGTAACTGGAATATTGTTAAAAAGCGGCGTTAAACCCAACTCACTCACTCCTATATAATATCACATAAAATTTACGTACATAACGAACTCTCTACAGCGAAACTGATACAGATACAGCAAACTGATATCTGATCACTGACAATCTTCCACTAATAAGTGGCGTGTATAGGGAACTAAGAAATCTCACTCAGTGTCAAGTGTCCCTGACAATTGGCTGTACGCAATCAGCGGTGAATCAACACAATCAGCGGTGAATGTTATAAAATGTTATCAATTGAATGCTATGAAGTGATCACTGCTAATACAAGTCAATGCTGCAATTGTATTGTGTTTTGTTTTATCCAAGATGGCAGACATTTCCGAACGAAAACGTATATAACGAACAACAGATATAACAAACTGATTTCTCTGGTCCCTTGTAGTTCGTTATATCCATGTTCTACTGTATACTGTAAATCTTGAAATTAAAGTGCGGGCTAAAAATTTGAGCGGTCTTTGTTTGTATAATTAAACTACTAAGCACTTATAAGCAGTGCTATTTGTGTTTGATTGGATTAAGGTAAGGATATTTATCATTCCACTGGGGATTGGGTGATTGAGTTGCGTTGATACTGAGTCGCATATTTGGCTAGGGGTCATCAGTCGTAATAATTTGGAGACGCATTAATTTCAAGATTTATGGTATTATATTTTTTCCCCGATTATTTTGCAAGTGAACTTGTTTGTTTGTGTATAAACACATTGTCGCAGCAATGTTCCAGCTTCATCACGGGAAACTGTAAGTAACTGAGTCTGGACCAGACAAACCAATGATGGATGTTATGAACAAAAAAAAGAAATTGTTTTTCCATAAGACTTTGTCCTTCCTCATCTTGATCATAACAAATGTATTTCACTGACAGCTTGATCTACATAGACAAAAATAAGGGAGTGAGTGAGTTGGGTTTAACACCACTTTTAATAGTTTTCCAGTTATATCGCGGCATGTCAGCTTAATGTGGTAGGAAATCCCCAAGGAATGGAGGTCTCAGATGTTCGGTGAAACCCACGAGCATGGATATGGTGCTGACAAACCTAGAAACAGAATCGGGGCGAACTACGATCATAGGTTTCTGGCGTGCCCAAGGGACGCAACTCTGCACAGCAAATCGTGGCGCCTTAGACGACTGGGCCACCCGTGCCCCCCCATATAGACTAAAAGACACTAATACTTTGTTTGACATTGAATTATATAATACCCCTGAATATATTCCAAGGAAATATCAACTAATGCTTCTTGCCAATAAGACTGCCACGGGCACTTGGTTAGATAAATTCTTGATTCTGTTATTTTTCAGAAATGAGTGAAGCCCTTCTCCCATGCTATAAAGAGCCAGTGATTCTGCAACATCCCGGAGGACACTTCATCCCAGCATCTTCGCAACAAAAACAAGTCTACCTCCAGTTTCTTGATAAAATGGCTGCCATAAAGTCCTAGTCAGCTAGGAAATGAACGCTGTGTATTTTCAGATTTGCTGTTTTAATCAAGTATTCGATTCCTGGAAATTCAATTTGGAACTGAGTCAACTGACGCCGTTTATGTTTATTGACACTCAGGGTTGTGCCTTGACTTACAAAACTGGGGTCTGACTCCAAATACTGAATATCAAGTGTCTTTACAGGAAATATGAGTGCATATATGTTTACTATGCATCTAATCTTTGCATTGGTGTTCAGAGGATGCACATTTATGTGTTGAAAACAACCCTGGCATTGTAAAGTACAAAAGTCTCTCTCTCTCTCTCTCTCTCCCACTCTCTCTCTCACTATCTCACACACTCTCTCACACTCTCTCTCTCACCCTCTCTCTCACACACTATCTCTCTCTCTCTCTCTCTCCCCTCTCACATTCTCTCACACTCTCTCTCACCCACTCTCTCTCACTCCCTCTCTCTCTCACTCCCTCTCTCACACACTCTCTCTCACTCCCTCTCTCTCCCTCTCACACACTCTCTCTCTCTCACTCACACTCCCTCTCTCTCTCACTCCCTCTCTCTTTCTCTCTCTCAATATCTCTCTCACTCACTCTCCCTCTCTCTCACTCATTCTCTCCTCCCTCTCTTTCTCTCTCCCTCACTCTCTCACTCTCTCTCTCACTCACTCTCTCTCACACTCACTCTCTCTCTCATTCACTCGCTCTCTCTCTCTTTTCGTCTCCTCCCTCTCTTTCTCTCTCTCTCCCTCTCTCACTCGCTCTCTCTCTCACTCTCTCACTGTCTCTCTCACTTAAATAGCTGGTGTCATCATAAGGAAGTGGTAAGCCTCCATTCCTTGACTTAGAAACCGATCCATGCAGATGTTGAGATGTGAAATCTGGGGTAGAATAGGTCTACCCAGCAACCCATGCTTGCCCTTAAAGGCGACTATGCTTGTCGTAAGAGGTGATCAACGGGATCGAGTGGTCTGGCTCGCTGACTTGGTTGATACATGTCATCGTATCCCAATTGCGTGGACCAATGCTCATGATGTCAATCAATGGATTGTCTGGTCCAGACTCGACTATTTACAGACCGCCGTCAAATAGCTGGAATATTGAGTGCGGCGTTAAACAAAAAACAAAACAAACAAAACTCACTTAGACACCATTGCACTGATCGAAACATTTTTATTTGCACAATAACAAATATGGGAAAATATACGCCGCCATCCAGCCCTTCATTCGTCAGTGTTATTTGTAGGTTCGATATTTCTTGGTCCACACTTTTTTCAAATCCATAGGGAAATCTGTAGGGAAAAGTATAAGTGATTGATATGTCACATTTCCCTGACTGCCCCTAGCCGCCTCCGTGGTCTTGTGGTAGAGCGTCCGCCCGGAGAGCGGAAGGTCCGGGGTTCGATCCCCGGCCGCGTCATACCAAAAGACGTTAAAAGATGGTACTTGTTGTTACCCTGTCTGGCGCTCGACATTAAGGGGCTAAAACATGGACTGGTCGACTCGGAGTCAGTATACTGTGTCTGAGTGGGGTATTCATGTTAAACTGCGGCATGGTATCTCAGTGAGCTAGCACTATAAATCGGCATCAGTCCGGACTAGTACAAGCAGCCACACACACACATACACGTGCATGAACGTCGCTATATAAGTGCAATAATCTTGGACGCGACGTTAAACCCAATTTCACCTCAACTCACCTCACCTGACTGCCCCTCGGTAGGCCACAAACACGCTATCTGTATTGATAACATCTTCCCGAGGCAAGAGCTAGCGTCCACTACCCTTTTTATCAAAGTCTTGTTTCCACAAACTGAGCTTTCATATGGGCCAGTAGACACGCTTGCATCGGGAAGATAGGCTAACAACTACTCCTTCCACTGTTAACGCTTTTCCATTCAGACACTTAAATCTTGTCCGAAATAAAAATATAATAGAAATATCAAATAAAGCACATTATTATTAAGAAAAAATGAGAAAATGATTCTCATTTTAGGATTTCCTTGTACACTGTTTAGAGTGAGTGAGTGAGTGAGTTGAGTTTAACGCCGCTTTTAACAGTATTCCAGTTATATCACGGCGTGTCAGCTTAATGTGGGAGGAAAGCCCGAAGTGATGCAGGTCTCAGACGTTTACCACTTCGGTAAAACCCACGAGCACGGGCATGGTGCTGACAAACCTAGAAACATAATCGGGGCGAACCAGGATTCGAACCCACAATCATATGTTTCTGGCGTGCCCAAGGGACGCAACTCTGCACAGCGAATCGCGGCGCCTTAGATGACTGGGCCACCCGTGCACCCCACACAGTTATAGAAACAGGCTCTCATCTTTTCGTCAAGTTTCCGAGGCATGATTCGTTAACACCCCCACCCCGCCCCCAGCCCTTTGTTAGGATCGATATAACACTATATATCATAAATCATCATATGATCTCGTATGATTAGTAACAAACAGTGTCATGAAAGTTGAAAGTTGAACGACTTGCCGAAATCAAACTGGATAGGTCCACGGAGGGTCTTTTTCTTGACACCCTCATTCGACATTCCCATGACTGTCGTGGCCTCCAGAAGAAGCAGGGATATCAGGATCACCTTCAGCAACATTGTACGCTGAAAGAAAGAAATGTTTCTAGTCACCTTGAGCAAGACGTATTCCTCATGCATTTACTATTGTTTAATTGGGCCTTTACACTGGGCGGTACCCGTGAAGATCCGGGGTAGAATAGGTCTTCAGCAACCCATGCTTGCCGTTAAAGACGACTATGCTTGTCGTAAGAGACGACTAACGGGATCGAGTGGTCAGGCTCGCTGACTTGGTTGATGCATGTCATCGTATCCCAATTGCGCGGATCGATGCTCATGATATTAATCACTGGATTGTCTGGGCCAGACTCGATTATTTACAGACTGCTGTCATATAGCTGGAATATTGCTGTGGGCGGCGTTAAACAACAAACCAACCGACAAGCCAGCAACACAGGATGGCGACCTTCGTGCCTCCAGTCTGCGACCACCAAATTTACCATGTCGTCGTTGGAGGCAGAATGGCTGCCTAGGTCGTTCCACGGTGGTACACAGGAGGTTCAAACATCGCCATGGACGCCGTGAATTTTTGAACATGTTCAAAACAGTCGCACAAAGGTCGCCGAGGAGGTTGGTTGCTCAAAGGTGGCTCGAAGGAGGCAGAAGGGAGGCACAAGCATTGCCGTTGTTGCAGAATGAAGGTACAGTGGTCGCCCAATGGTCGCCTGGTAATAGATGCGTTCTGCGGCAAATTTTACCGTCAACATGGGTGATGCTTCTGTCTCCCTTGTGCCTCCATTGAACGATGACTGTGACGAAAACCGTGCCTCCATTCGGCGACCACGGCAACCCTTGAGATACCATTGCAATGCTTCTGTCTCTTTTCTGACTCCTTTGAGCTACCTGTAGTGCCTCCTCAGCCTGCCCATAAATAGAGGGCTTGTACCTGCAGTGTTTCATTGTGGTTGCAGACGCTGGACAACTCGAGCAGTTACTGCTGAACAACTGCTGGAGCAGTTACATAGAAACATGATTTTCCGGGTTCAGGCCACCATTGAGCGTCCTGGCCAGTTTTTGAACGCTCAAAGGTCGCAGCCCTGTGTAAAGGGGCCTTTAACACTTTGGGAAGTGATGAAAACGACATCAAACGACGTCAGAAATATACGGAATCCAATTAATTTCAACTTAGTATCTTGAAATTTCAACTTAGTATCGAAAGCATTTACAAAAAGAAATGGCCCTAAAAGGCTTCCGTAGATACATATATTTTAATTCGTTCCTCTTCGACAGATTTTCAAATACATTTCTTTGCATCATTTTGTATCACATAATATTCTCATCGTATTAAATATTGGTTGAGTGAGTGAGTGAGTATGGTTTTATGCCGATTTTAGCAATATTCCAGCAATATCACGGCGGGGGACACCAATAATGGGCTTCACACATTGTACCCATGTCGGGAATCGAACCCGGGTCTTCGGCGTGACGAGCGAACGCTTTTACCACTAGGCTACCCGACCGCCCCTAATATTATATTGGTTGGAGGGTACATATCGGATACGGAACATTTCAGTATGCAGACATGAATGTTATGAGTTGGAAATTTTAATCACAACCTATACTTCTATCCTTAGGGACGCACGGGTGGCTCAGTCGTCCAATACGCCGCAATTCGCTGTGCAAAGTTGCCTCCCTTGAGGCCTGAACTTTTGGGTTCGAATCCAGGTTCGCCCCGATCATTTTTCTAGGTTTGTCAGCAACATACCGTAGTAGTGGGTTTCACCGAAGTTGTAACTGTGAAGATCCTGTTTAGAATTGGTCTTCAGCAACAGATGCTTAATTGTCTTTAAGAGGCGACTAGAAATTAATTGTATCAATTTACCTTCTTTTCCCTCTACTTTGTCCAACTCTGGAAAGTATTTTGTCACTTTGGAAATGAAATAGGACGCTTGTGCGTACTAACTAGCGTAAATCGTCAAAATAATATAAACCTATTATATTTTATTACCCATATGGGCAGGCTCGCTGACTTGGTTGATGCATGTCATCGTATCCCAATTGCGTGGATCGATGCTCATGTTGTCAATCACTGGATTCAGACCGCCGTCATATAGCTGGAATATTGCTGAGTGCGGCGTTACACAACAAACAAACAAACAAACAAACCAAAGCGGTAAACCTCTAAGATCTGCATCACTCCAAGCTTTCCTCCCACGCTGTTAAAAGCGGGGAGGTTGGGTAGCCTAGTGGTTAAAGCATCCGCTCGTCACGCCGAAGACCCGGGTTCGATTCCCAGCCTGGGTACAATGTGTGAAGCCCATTTCTGGTGTCCCCCGCCATGATATTGCTGGAATATTGCTAAAATCGGCGTAAAACCATACTCACTCGCGCACTCATTCATCTCTCACATAAACACCTACCTTACCCCGGGAGCCTTCTCTTGTGTGTACAGGAACGTGGCTGCGTCCACTGCTGCAGTTGTATCATGTGATGAGAG